CCGCCCATGGTTTCTCTTCTCTTTGGGACATGAGTGCTTTTGTAGTCCGTTAAGTGAAGGAGAGAGACAGACACTGAGATGTAAAGGCCAGCAGGGTGACACAAAAACCCAGAAATGTTAGATAGCAAACAGCACTGCCTATGAGCATAGAATCTGTGTTTCATAGAAGTCAGGGCAAAAATATAACCTTGGCAAATCACATAGCTTTCATTATTCCCTTCATTTTTTAATAGTAAGAAGTGGGTTAGAAATATTTTCCTATTCCTGTGCTCTGAGAATCACTAGATATTCACAGTCCTTATCTATTCTTTAATATTTTCTTAATCTACTTTTTTAAGGAGAAAACCTGAATGATGATATTCCCTTATAATTTACAAATATTCAGCTTAATACATAGCTTTTATAGCTGAGTATGACTAGATTATTCATATCTTGAAATGGTGATCAAGTTTTCATCTACAAATATAAATCTTATCCCCCATGTACACATACATGTGAAAAATTTAAAAGGTTTTCTTTTTATCCTTCTGCAAAGAATTTGGTGTAGTTCTGGGGAATTTATGCCTACAGGATCCCCTTCAGATGATGCAGAAAAGCTGCTGAGAAGGACCTCGCCAGGGGAGCCTGGGCTGGATGTGTGGATCTTGTCTTGTCCTCCTATAAAAGCTGTTGACACAAAGCAGTAGCTTTACATGTTGCAAAGGCTTGAAAGGAATATTTCAATGAAATCTTTTATAGATGGAATGCTTTTCCTTAGCTTTCAAAGCAGTGGTCAACGTACCTGGAATTTTATTTTACTATTCATTTTTTTTCTTACGAAGTCAATAAATGTTTTTTAATGTGTGTGCCTATATTTTTATCAACTCCCAATTGTGTCACAAGGACTTGGGAAAAATACTTAATGAGAGTTGAAATAGGGTGCGCTAGCCTCGTAGGAACACTGAGGTTCTTGTTCTTCTGTCACTGAAAGGATATATCAAGTGCCCAGAGAGCACTTGGCACCTTATGGTGCCTGATGATCCCTGTCACTCTTATTTCTCATTGCCCACCCTGTTTGGTTGGCAGGGGAGTGTTGTGTGCAAAGCAGTAATTTGCTTATGGCTCTGTGGTGTTACTCAGCACACTTAGTTCTGGAGCTTAATGGCTGAGTGTGACCTCACCATTGTTGGCTTCAGGCTGTATCCCGAGTTCTTATTCCCTGTCCTCCTTCAAAACCCTTCTTTTCTCTTAACTTCCTTGCCCCATTCCTTCTGGTCAAAGACAGACAGGAAGCACTAAGCTGATGTCAGCATCATCCCTTGGTTTCCATGACAACTCCTCCAGGAGATGCCTTATTAGAATCCACATCACCATTTTCCCAGCATGCCTTTTGGTACAAATTCTAAAATAGCGCATGCCATCGAGCTGTAGTCCATTTCTATGTACCAGGATGACCGTGCCTGCACTGCATGGACAGTCCACTATGGATCTAAAATGTCTAAGGATTCGAAAGTGCACTTCTCCCACCTTCTTGGAGCGAGTAGAAGCAGCTCAGTAGAATGTAATTTTCATTTCCCTCCCTTTCTTTCCATCCTACTTTGGATATGTGAACATCATGACCCAGAAATGAAAGCATATTTTCAGGGATTATTTCATTTTTATAAAAATCAGCATGCTTATGACCTGAATACAATAGTCACTTTCCACTATTCATAACTAACAAACTTGCTTTCTGTGGAAATCACTTTTTCTGTGGTAGGACAATGCATATGGATCTAACTGGGTGGGGACCGAGGAGGAAGACAGGGCAGATGAATGAATCAACAAGGAAACAGTAAAAGGTTCTGATCCTTGGGGAGGAAGGAGGAAAATAACAAAACCCGGTTGTACTATATTTTATCAGCTATGTCTGCTGAGGAATTAGGGTCAGGACCCAGAAACTTTACTCTATCTCCTGGTGTTTGTTTCAGTTCAGGGGGTTGGCTTGCCCCTTTGATGGGTCATTTCCTTCTCCCTTGTCACATTCCAGGCTGCATTAAGATGTCAAGTTTCACTTATAGGTGGAGGCACGGACACAAAAACCTGAGCCATTCAGCTTACTGAGGGAGTGCAGAAGAGTGGATTTATTGTGCAGAGGAAAGGAGTGTTTGAAGTACAAAAACAAATTTGCTAGATGGCTTCGCAAGAGCACACATCCGATGGCCTGCCTGCCCCCACCACGGGGCCTACGCCAGCCTCTCATGGGTGGAAGAGAAATGTTACAACAATTAAGAAACTTCTTTCAGGCACACACCTACCAGATTATGTGGCAGGCAGATGAAACTTTATTTTAGGGATAAGCTTATAGTGTAGTGTTTGCAGAAATATTTAAGGCGAGGTAAATAGAATAAAGTTCTTGTACTCTTTTCTGTCTGAGAATGCAGCAGAATGTACTGTTCTCCTCTTATCCTGCCTTTGGAAAGGAGGGGCAAAAAAAAAAAGTTGGACAGCAAAAAGCAAGTCCATCAGATCAAACATGACTGCATTAAATACTAAAATGTTCAAAGTCCGACTGAGATAGATAAAGGCTTTGATGGAAAGTAGATATTTCCCAGGGACATTACAAGCAATAATCCAGATGTTATGGTGTAAGGCAATGAGCGTCCATGGGTAGATCAGGAGCTCCAGCCAAGCCGCGCCTGATACCGGCCTCAGCTTTGCCCTCCCATGCTGTTCTGCCATATGGAACCTATCTCTGGGCCCTCTTAATAACCAGCTTTGGATTCCATTTCCACAGAGCTCATAGAGCTAAGTGGAGCTGTTTTATGGACAAGTTAGATAGAAGCCTTTCCAAGATAAACATCCAATTTGAAATTAGGACATACCAAGCTGCAAAATTATTTTAGGGCATATTTCATGGAAGTGCTGCCATTTTTCTTAGGCAATTGCCAGACTGTAGGATGCCCTTTGATCCTCTGTGGACATTACCCCCTTCTTTATAAAAAGGATTTTGAAATAGTTGCAGTGTTTAGGGAGGAATATATCTGTCGGAACTTTGAAGCATGGCCGTGGGACAGGTCATGCTTTAGCTTGTTGGTTGGCAAGTCAAACTTTTAAGTAGGAAAGAAAGCACAAAAAGGATTTGCGGCAGGATGTATGAATCAAAATCTCATTTTTGCTTTAAAGGTAGAGGTTTTGAGCTCGTGTACTCAATGAGATATAAAATAAATTAAGTGGATTCTATATCTATCTATCTAATCCAAGGACATATACAAACATGTACATGTGTCTGTCTATTATGATGATATGTTTTAAATATAAAGCTACTTAATTCTATGATTTCATAAAGTTATTGAATATAGTCTGTCTGCCATCTACCTGCAAATAAGAGTTCAAGAGTTACTCCATGTGCTTCGAGATGGCTTTTGAAGTTATTTCTTTCATTTGTCTACACTGCTTTGTGTCAGTACCTATATAATCAGTGTGTGTGTGTGTGTGTGTGTGTGTGTGTGTGTGTGTGTGAATACACAGGAGGGGGATTAGGAAAAAAGTTGAAAGGATAAGCAGTCTGGGTGTATCTTTCCTTCAGAGTATTTTGTTTAAAAAGTTGTCATAAAATGATCAGTGAAACACCTGGTAAGGCATTGTTGGATTGTTTATAGCATGGTGGAGTGACGTGGGCTGGTGAGGTAAGCTGTGTATAATTGACATGGCCCTGACACACCATTTGTTGGGATGAATTGTGATTAACTGGTATCCAAGCAAATTCCTGTGGAAATGACCTTGAGAAGCTGGCAGGAATGAATGAGAGGGTTAGAAACCCATTGCTTCACCCTGGTGCTTGGCACTGTTTCCCTTCTTTCCTCTTTTACTTTGCCTTTAAATAAAGTGTCCGCTTGTACCATTCCCCTTGCTGAATAGAGACCATAAATGGACTCTCCCCACTAAATACAGTATGAGGCTTAGGTAGGGACCCTAATGCTAGCAGAGTAACCTGGGTACAATTTCACTGAGACCACCAGGGACTGTGACTGTATGCAAGATATTTAATGATATTAAGACAAATTATGATTAATTTTGTGTAGAGTGAACGTGCATGATGGTTATGTGAAAACAAATATGGCTTTGCTTTAAAACATTCCAGCCAGGAAAAAAATAATGAAGGCAGACAGGAAATTAAATTATTGGCAAATACTAGCAAAATACTGAATCTGGTGAATGAGTACATGGTGATTTACCACACTATTTGTACTCCTTATCATTCTGTATGTTTAAAACATTTTTATGATGGTGATTAAAAAGTGGTATGACTATCATGTTTATTAATTAATCATAGGGAGTATTTGTCTTTTTTTCCTCTGTTCTTTTTAAGGTGCATATGTGTGTTTAGAAGTCATATAATTTAAAAAAAGAAAAGTGATATGTTAACAGGTGTGGAGCCCCTCTAGGTCCTAGGCTCTGTGAAATGCATTGTGTACATTCTCTTCCCATTCCATACACACAGCTGATTTGCTAAATATACAAAGCTCTCTGACAAGCCAGGCCATTATAACCTACACATGGAATTTGAATCTTATAGGAGAGTAGGGCATGTTAGTAGTGGTTCAAGGAGTAAGGGAATTAGGGACAGAATCAAATGTGATGGATAAATTCAAGTCATTATTTCTAAATGCCCAGAGGTATTTTGTCTTGTTCTTATTCCTCTGTTTCCCAGAATGCCTTTCTTCCCTTCCTACTATTAAAACAGCCGGAGACCCAGTTTAGGCATCCCTAGCAAAGAGCATTTCTGGACAGCACTGGAGATCACTGCCAAAGCCAAGTATTGGTTAAACTCATCCTGTGCTACACTGTTATGAGTCTAAAGCTTCAACAGTAATCCACTAACTATAAATGCAGGCTTGCGAAAGCCATGAAGAATAACACTTGTCACCAGGCAGGGAGGGATTTTTATAATCAAACACTGAACGCTGGGATTGCTATGATCACCAGAATCACTCCCAAGAAGAACCGATGGGTTCACATGTCTTTATTTTTTCCTTTAGTCCTCTTTGATACGCAATCTTCGGCTCTCAGAGTCTTTGAAAAAGAACCAGCTCTGGAATGGGATTATAAGTATAACTTTGTTGGAAGGAAGGAATGTCTCAGGAGGAAATATGACCGAGATGTTCGTTCAGTTAAAACTGGGAGATCAGAGGTACAAAAGTAAGGTAAGTTTTGTCAGTGCTGTAAGGAAGCCAATGTATTTCAAACTTAAAAATAATTTAAAAAACTGCTTTCTTCTCTACATTTTACAGGAATAGAAATAACTCAATTGTAGCCTTCCTAACTATATTAAAGAGCCTTCCAGAAAAATAAAATAATGCTATAGTGGCAGTCAGTTAATACTGGAGTTGCTTTGATTACTTACAGTAATTTATTTTAATATGGTAAGTCAGAGCGAGAGAAAGCTCATTAAATCATAAATTAGAGCACATGATTTATTTTTGTTTTGAAAATAAGCAAAGTATGTTTCACAAAATGTGGGAAAAGGCTAAGTTCAAAATCCTACAAAAAATAAAAACAGCTTACTACTTGATATGCTACGTGTAAAATACATGAGGTAGTTGAAAACATTTTCAGAATGATCTGCTTTTCTCTCTCATTTGATAATTTTTACACCAAAAAAGTTTTCCAGTGTTGCTAATTTTGCATGATTTAAAAAATTTATATCTAAAGTATTAAAACTGAAAGTAACAACATTTTCACTGCTTCAAAAATAAACCATCTTATTCTGCCAATCTAAATTTCATTTAATTTTTAATCTTAGTAATTTGGTGTTGGTTCTATTTCAAAACTATAGTCTCTGAACCATGCAAATTAATTTGTTTTACATAACTGTCAGACAGGAGTATTTCCTATGTTTTATGAATTGGAAGAGCCAGGGTCCTTGAAAGTTATGTCACCAGCCAAAAGCCACATAGGAAAAAAAGTCGGGGGAAGATTTTGAAAATAGACTCGAGAATATTTGCAATTCAAGCTTCTTAGAACCTAGTACATAGCAGATACACACAGCTTGGAAAATGCTCTGGGAGGCAAAGAGGAATCTGTTTTGCACAGTTTTCAGTGAAAATTCAAACATTGCACATCCTTTATTCCAATAAAAAGGAGTGGAGAAATGAGGTGCAAGTCGAAGAATGGTCTACAAGAAAAGTGAAAAATTTAGGGTGATTCATGTCAGATATATGCACATAATCATTTTAAGCAGTTAGTGTTAGGCTGCACCTCATAGTGAGCATATCTGACGTGACAACGTTTCTCTAGTAAGATTTCTGCAACTAGCCAGGTCAAGATGAGAATTTATAGAAGAAAATATTTAACATTAGGTACATTTATTGCTTCTGAGTAAGGTGGTGTATCCAGTTAGTCCAGTAGCTACTGCATGCCACCTTGGGGAATATTCCATGCAATTCGTAGTTCTAATAGGTCTTTTCTGCTTCGTGGCTTCTAAATTCTGGGACCTGATATGTTAAGCCTAATTAAAAAACAAACAAACAAACAAAAAAAAAAAAACCACTTGAGTGATTTTATGAGATGTGGGTGGTGATAGCAGATATCTGGGCAGCCCATTTTTTCTCATGCAGGAAGAGATGATGGTGTGGAGGTCACAGTAGTGCTGTGTCTGTAGAGCCCTCCTCAGTGTCCAAAGGCTCATCTTTATTTACTCACAGACACACTAAATGAAAGTGGAAATCTTGCCAGTAAACTAAACAAGGATGTAATTTTAGGTTACTCTTAGGGAACACAGTAACACTTACGGGGCTTTCAAACCATTCTTGTTAACTTTTAAGTGTTGCTTAAGTGGAATTCCCTTGTCTGACCTCCACTTTTGTGTCCAGATTCAATAATTTTGGATTTAAAAGATAGGAATGTAAAATGTATGGGTTACTCATTCAATGCATCTGACAAATGTTAAGACCCCAATCTGTTGGTTTATATAATGTTCATCAAACAATATGTGTATGTGCCGACAAAAATGTTACTCAAGTTCGGTTAACCAATCAGTGTTGTCTTCTATAAGAAAGAACAATCACAAACTCTCTACTGATATATGCCAACTATACATACATATTGTCAAAATATTCTTTTTATCTCGCTAAGTAAATTATTGAATCTGAAGGCCATCAAAATGAGTAGTATTCTTTAGCCAATTCCTAAAACCTTAAGATTCTTTCTATTCCAAAAGTTTATCTTAATAAGAGGCAGAGTCCATCATTATGACCTCCTGCCATTTAGCAATAAAGTTAATGTGTAGCTGCTATAGCAATGTATGACATTTTAAGAAAATAAATATTATAACTGCATGTTTTCTAGACACTGTGTAAGAGTGCAAACCCGCAGTGGCAGGAACAGTTTGACTTTCAGTACTTCTCTGACAGGATGGGCATTTTGGACATTGAAGTGTGGGGAAAGGACGGCAAAAAACACGAGGAACGCTTGGGCACGTGAGTCCACTCTGCTTCTCCTCCGTGGGATTTTGTGTCTGCGGGGGGCTGGGTCTCAGGGAAGGTCCTGTCTGTTTGGGGTGAGGGAACAGTTTGTGTCTCATTCATTTTTCTGCTCTTCCCTGGAAGAAGTTGTTTATTTTTTATTATCAAAAATAAATTGTTAACTGTCATTCAGTATTTGCAAACAGTATTAAAAAATAAAAAAGAAGAGGGAAAAATCCATCCAGCCCTCAGTGTCCAACCAGGATCATTTCTGTGTTGTCACTGAAGCAAAAATCCCGGCATGCTCAAGTCCGTATGTAAAAGGAGAGGCTTTGCATGCAACCTGCTTACATTCCCTTGACTATTTTAAATCAATTTGAGTCACTTTAATATTTAATATTACCTAAATGCTATATAAATTGTTGTTCTATTGTATTGCTTTGGGAATAATGATCCCCAAAATAGCTATAAAAATGGTTTTGAACCAAGGTTTGTTTGAGTCTGTGAGTATGGAAACTATATTCAAAGACTAACTGTAGTTCATATCAAGAATTTTCTGGAAAAAGTTCTTCAGAAGGAGCCATTTTAGGCTGTTTTGGTTTTATTTATATACATTGCCAATACTATAGTTTGGTTTTGCTCTATAGTGAAATACCATCATTTAATAAAAGTATAAGACTAGATGTTTCCTATATTGAAAACTTTTCAATGTCCTTGCTGTAATTAATATAAAGGAATCTATTGAACTCAAACCTATTCTGTTTTTATTTTCTTCGCTTTGGCTCCTCTCAGCTAAACTGAGGTCTTCATGTATATGTAATGAACAGCAATGTAAGTGTCCCAGATAGTTTACAGGGTTCTCAGGAAGAACACAGTAAAATGAGATAGCACAGTTATTGTGACTGGCCCATAGTAAGCACAAAGACGATGCTCGTACATGCGCCTTCAGCACATTGTGCTAAATATATCATTTGGCTCATTTTGGAGAGGAAGAAGTGGAGTACAAGAAGTTTACTGATGACTTGGCCTTATATTTAAGAACCTTGTGTTCCAAGAGCAGAGTACTTAGCTCAGTCTATTGCTGTCCACTAGTTTTGCTGTCCTCGACCTACCTTGTCTCAGTAGTTCATTCTGAGATCAATGGATGGGGCATTCAGGATCCACAAGACAATCTGTTGCATGGTACACTGTTACGGGATATTTTCATCAAATCTGGTTCTTATCCACCTGATGACAATAACTCCATCCTGTTGCTGAGTGGAGTACATGTGTTTCTCCACATACATACATAGCATCACACATGTCCAGACACTAACCAGCATGGCCAGTTACCCTGGTGGTTAAGACTTGTTCCCTTTATATTACTTAAGCCACAACCTGGGCACATCCCTTTTGGTAGGGCTCCGCCCAGGATTTGCCCAGCCATCATGGTGGCTTACCTCCTTCTTCCTAGAAGACCCTATGGCTTTTTTCTTCCAACATCTTTGCCAGAGCTCATGTGTGTAAAGATTTACTCAATCCCCTGTACTCTCACAACATAAATTAGCTTATTTCATCCCCCAAAGCCCTTCCCATCAGTGCCTATATCAGGCAGAACCCACCCTTGGTCTGCAGAGAGCCACCACATCCTTCTTTGTGGTCCTTCCTTCCATGCCTGCATTAAACTCTTTCTTACCTAGTTGCCTCCTCTCTTTTAATATTCTGTGATGCTCAAGATTGAGTACAAAGTTTCAACTCAATCAACTTTGTACAATCTCTGTGCACAATCTGTGCCTATCTGATAGGCAGCACACTCTGCTTTGATGATAGTCTCTCCACAAATGCAAATCTGTGCATTCTGCCAACACAGTGGGCTACGCCACAGTCTCCACTCGAGCAGGAGTAATTCATGGTCATCATGTGTCAGTGATGGATATGGATTTGCCTCTGCTATCTCTTCCCACGCCCACAAAGGGTACCTAAGATGGCTTAGATGCTTCTCAGTACCTTTGCTATTGTCACAGCTGTGACATATGGAAGCCCTGGCCGTGCCAGTGGTAGGAGGATCAGAAACTTTGTGTTAGTCCAGGGAGCAAGGGTAAGCAATGCAAATGCAGAGAACGCCATGTCCCAAGTGTTATCTGGACAGTGGAAGTTTCGGCCTCCAGTGATGAATGGCCCATGTGTTATTTTAGTAGGTGCAAAGGATGCTGCCCCTGCATTTCACATGTCATTGTGCTGTCATGTTCCCAACACATCATAGGAAATGCTTTTCCAAATGAGCATTGGGTTACTTCACTGGGACAAAAAATAATTTAAAATGTCTCTTCTGTTCTATGCTTTGTCATTTGGGTATTCATTTATTATTTTAGCTTTTTCCTGTTTGTATCTGAGAAGTGTACCTGTCTTCTGGTCATTCTGTCCTTCCTCTTTATGGATTTTAAAGGATTTTTTTGGTATCCTTTTCCTTTTTCCTCTCCTGTGGCACAACAGATAACAAAAGCATCTCTTGGGAGCTGATTCTATGGCATTACAGAGCAGTGGCTCTGCAGGTGTGAGAAGCCTACACTAAAGCATAACACTGCTTTTCAGATTTAAAGAAGATACTGTGCTAATCATAGGTTTATCACTGGTGGATTACTCACTGTTGTGCCTTGTTAGTTACTTTGGAAATATTTCAGCTTTTTCCATTGTCATTGTGGTCATTGTTGTGTTCCTCCTCCTCCCCTTCTGCTCTTCCTCCTCCTTTCCTCCTTCCCCTCCCGCCTCCTTCTCCTTCTTTTTCTTCTTCTTGTAGTATTTGTGCTAAGGATTAGCTGTTCTATGTTTCTCCTATTGGGAAATTATCTTTTTAGATCAAAGGTGGTCCAAGAGTATGAATGAATGTGAACCTTCTCCTAAAATCAATCTTGTTTTGCTTTTGGATAAGCCCTTCTTGTTAATCAGATAAAGCGCTACCTATAGCATCTCTGTGGAATTCCTCTTCAAGGAGGGTTTCTACTGTGGGCAGATTGACTGGGCACTCCTGATGTGACCATGGGGAGTTTGGCTCCCTGCATCTTGAGTTCACTGGACAACCTGAAGGTCATTGTGACTGACAATTCCCATATCTATTGACATGGGTACTATTTTTCATTTCCCGAATTTTTTTTTTTCATGGCAACCCGTAGATGTTTATAATGTGTTCAACTAAAAATTTACAACTGAAATATACCTAACAGTATGCTTTTGAAAATAACAGACTTTGCTTTTGTAGTCTTTAGTAGAAATGAACAGTGAGCATCTACAAGGTTAAAGTGGTGGAGTGCCATTGACTGAAGAACTGAACAGCATAGATTGATTTGAGTGATACTGGGCTTTGGTATCATGGATGAAAAGACTGGGTTAGTGACTGGTGATCTGAGAAGACCTTACACAGGTGTTGCTAGGTTGTTTGCTTGGCAATATTTAAACATGGTTCTTCTCAGTAGCCCGTGCCTTCAAGCACTCTTGAGTTACACAGGCATCTGTGACTTCCCTAGGGTCTTAATTCACTCTCTTGCAGGCTCTGGCTAAGCCCCTAGGAGCTCCTAAGGATCTGAAGCTAGTGACGTAAAGCTAGTTCCCATGTATATTCATGGACAAAACACGCAATAAAAGATAGTCCCCGGGCTTTTGCATTTTTAACAAACTGCAGAAATATGAATATAGATTAATATGTATCACCCATTTGGTGCGGTTCCTTAATGGATATTTTTTTTGTCTCAAAATGTTGCTAGAGTTTGCTGTATTATGGAATATTGTAGATATTAATTTCATCTGAAGGGGGTAAGCATGAGAATCCATAGCCTGTTTTGACTGGCCTGCCACAGAGCCGCACCTGAGTTCCAGATGGTACCTAATAAAGTAGCTCTGACTTTCTCCCAGTTTATTAGTGGCTTTGAGGCAGTGAAAGATGTGGGCTGCAGTGTTTCTCTGGACAAATTGCACCCTGTGTCGTCCATCTGCTTTTACAGCCAGGCTTGACACAGGCACTGTTTTCTTCCTGTTCTCCAACTTCCTTGGCCTCTGAGATTTACAGCTTTTAAAACCATAGTACTCTTTTCTGCCCCTTGCATTTAAGTTAAAAGCTGGCAAGTCTGTAATATAAAACATAGAATTATGGTAATGAATAAGAGGTTAAAAGCTATCATGGCAAGTGAAACTTGCTCAGGTTTGGCTGACTGATATGGTAAAATTATGTGTAGGATTAAAACATTAAAATGCTGTGGGATTAATGGAGAAAGACGAGAATGGGAGGTCAGAAACAATGCTAAGTCAGCACATTAGCTGCCTCTGGGTGGAAGCGGAAAGTTTTAATATATGCCTCTTGCAGAAAAAAAAAGTGATTTAGTCTTTGTTTCCTTCAGGTGAGTAGAACCAAGGAATTTTCAGTCTGGGAGGCACCCTGGAAATACATTTATTTCAATATTTGCCTAACATGGAGAAGAAAAAAAAATGCTAACAGAAAACTCTGACTTTATAATTTGAATGTCTTGATTGTGTGAGTTTGTTTATGCCATTAACATTCATTTCTGCATTAAGTGTTCAACATATATAGATCAGATTGAATATTGCAAAGGCTGTGAAATTCTGACAATTCATTAGCCAGTGATGGAGACAAGGATGCTGTCTTTAAGCATGCAGGTTTGTGCTCCTGCATGTGAACGGAGAGTGACAGTGGCATGTCACAGGGTCTTTGGGTCTCAGCACTGTGGAAGCCAGCAGGACTTGGGGAAGTGGGGATGACTTCCTGGAGTCCGAAGTCTGAAGTGACTCTTCTAAACTGGGTGGTAGATAACGCCACAGAGTGCTTGCAGGAAGAGCTCTCTGGGGAGGCAGCACCGAGAGGAGGGAGGACAAATTCCTTCTGATGACCTTGGGAATACTGTTGAGGCTCACAGGTGCCACATAAGGAAGCTAAAGAGGAGAGCAGGTTACGAAGCTATGGATTTCCATCTCAAGAACATGAGTCGCGGCACCTCCCCACGTGCACAAATATCAGGCAGGGTATTGCCTTCATTTCCAAAAAGTACACACCCATTACATTTTCTATCATCTGATGGTACCATGAGGGGCTATGGGAAATTAAAAATTATTTTTAAAAATTATTCTTACATTAGTTTCTGATACTTCTATTGATATGTTTACTATCTTTGCAGTAAACATATGTACTTCCTTTCATGCAAATCAGCCCAGATAAATTCTTGGCATTTCCATAGGTCAGGGTTAGGTGAAAGAGAGCCCATGAGCCAAAAGCCAGATAGATGCCTATTTCTGTAAAAAAGTTTGATCTAAAAAAAAAAAAAATCGTGCTTTCAGGCAACAAGGGCAGAGTTGAGAAGTTTCAAAAGCAGCCACATAAACCACAAACCATTATCTTTCTGGTGTTCCATGGAAAAATGGACAAGGTATAAATCCCAGGTCCTGCCCATTATGGGTGTAAGCTGTTCCTGTGCTTCACTAATAAAAGGTAGAGCCTGGAGCTCTGCCCTTCTCATAAGAGGTAGCTGCATCAGTGACAGAGTTGGAGAAGAGCAAAAGATTTTGTGCATCTTTAGTAACAACTAAAAAGAATTGGAAGACCATCCAAACCATTTTTTTTTTTTACATATTCTCTGAAAAGAATCTGATATGCTAATGATAAAGACTGGATTCTACTTTCAAGACTTACTAAATTAAAACATTTTTGAATGTGTTACATGTTACCATATTCAAAAATTTAGATTTTAGTTCATTTATCTTTCAAATGCCATTTTCAATCATTTATCTTTGTAAGAAATGTCATTTTATTCATGTGATACTTTCTACTTTTTGTTTACATTTGAATTGTGGTAAAATTGTCCACAGTTCAGATAGAAAAAGTCTCTAAGTCTTTCCCCCTACTGTTTTAGGCTAATAATGCCCCTTCCTAGGTAAGGGTTAATGTCAATCATTTCCTGGTCTCTGGCTTACCCCCAGAAATTTTGGTTCTTCTATAAACACTAGGTTAAACTGAAACAATATGGGCTGGGATTGACATTGAACTGTGTACATTAGAAGTCCTGATATAGAGAGGTTTATAAAAAATGTATTACTTCTTTAAACATGAAGTTAGGAAAAAGTAAATTGCTATTATTACTGGCATTAAACGGAATGAACTAATTCAAGTGACTATCAGAGAAAATTCTTACAAGTTTGGGTCAATTGCTCCATAAGGAAGAGCTTTATTAGGTGAAAGTGTGTATAACAGTGTTAAATAACGAAGTATTCCTAAGCACAAGTGCTATTGTGATACTGGTTAAAATATATGAATTCATCATTTTTTAGAAATGACAGCTAGAACTTGACACTTCTGTTTTACCAACCAAACTAAATTCTCTGCTTACGTAATTGTTTATGTTATAAAAGTATTAGGTAACTTCCCTTTTCATGGCAGTAATTTTGTTTGTTTGCTTGTTTTGAAGTGATGTCTTTTTATGTAGCTTTGGACTTACTGTGTACCTAGGCTGGTCTTGAACTTCCAATGATCTTGGCATGAGCCACCATGCCCAAATGTATTTTAATTTTAAAAGGTTCTTTATTGCTGGAAAAAAAAATACTATTTTGATTTAAAGTAAAAACCATATACACATATATGTGTCTATTTGTAATCTGTTTCCAGTGGATTATTTGACAAATTTGTAACATGCAAAAGTAATCACTACTTTTCCCAAAAAATGTACTTATTTTGGGTAAATGGGAAAAAAGACAATTTTACAGGCACATATCAATATGTAATTTTTGTCCTATAATAAAAGTTAGTATATATTATAATTTAATTGATTTTTCTAGTTTTAATTGAGAAGCACATTTTAATTTTGAGTCTATTAAACAGGCAGAATTTTTTTTTTTTCTACAAATGCACGTAACTTGAATCATCACAGCTTAGCATAACACACAGGTTAAGGGTGCCTTTTTCTAGTTGGTCTGGTAGCATGCATACGAAGTCCATTGAAGATCGACCGTTAGCATCATCCATATTGCTCTTTGTGAGAGGCTATTTCTAAAGTCTATTCCTAAAGTCTTGAATATTCATCATATTCTATAATTGTGGAGAGCAAATGAGAATGTCATAAAAACATTACATCTAATCTGAGCTCTTGGCTGGCTCGCTCACCCCGCCTAGAATCCTCACCCACTTGCGTTGTCCATAAACATAGGAGGTGTGGTCCCTACAAGCCCGGAGCTTTCAGTGCTAAAGCAAATAAATGGCTTAGAACCTCGGCCCCCCACCCTGTGGTATTTGCTGCTGTATTTAAATGTGTTTGAGGTTTTCAGCAGCTTCAGAACATTGGCTGTTAAGAGGCGGAAAAAATGCAATTTATAGCAGATGGGTACAGCCCTTCCTGGCAGTGCTGCCAACTGGGATCAATCAGCAGCACTTCACGCTCCATTTGTCCAAAAGAAACCCACCTGAGGAAACCCTGCAGATCCATGCCGAGTAGGAAAACACCTTAACTGTCTCCTTAAATAAAAATTCACCAGTTGGCATTAATTGAAAAGAAAATACTTTCTCCTTTAACCTTGTCCTATTTGTATTTTTCTTGTGTGTTTTTTTCTGTTCCTTATTATTATTTTTGTGTGTGTGTCTTTTTTTTTTGGTGAATCAGATCTTTCATTCTCAGCTTGGTGAAGCCACTTAGAACATTCCTTATGATGCTTATACTTTGGAACTTTTTTTTCCCTAATTCTGGAGTTCATTGTCTTTCTGCACATTTTGTTTGGCAAAAGACAAGACTTACTACTGACTTTCTTTTGCCATCCCCTGACCCTGTCTTCTCTTTGATTTTCTGTCCTGTAGTGCCCTTGATTTTGGAGTGATTAGGCTGGGAGTGTTCTGAGGTGAGAGAAACCCTTGAAACTTTCACTGCTCCATAACCCTAAGCCCAGACAGAACAAAGTTTGAGGGGTGATGAAATAAATACGAGGCAGGTGCTTTGAAGATTCTACTTGGCCTTGTGTTGATAATTTTTCCTTGTCTGACTCTTGATATTTCTTCCAGGTGCAAAGTGGATATTGCTGCACTCCCATTGAAGCAAGCCAACTGCCTGGAGCTGCCTCTGGAGAGCTGCCTGGGGGTGCTCCTCCTGCTGATCACGCTCACGCCCTGTGTGGGAGTCTCTGTCTCTGATCTGTGCGTCTGCCCCTTAGCGGACCCAAGTGAAAGAAAGCAGATTTCCCAGCGCTATGTGAGTGCCTTGCCTGGTGATGCCAGGACTCCCTCCCCCACACCCACTTTTAAGTTGAAAGGAAGTCTATGAATTGAAAAACTACATATACAAGAGATTTTCATTCCAAGTTTAATTGCATGTCTCATAAAACAAGACATCAGACATGGGGGTTAAGGCATTAGCGAGAAGGTGAAAGGAGACTTAGAGTTTGATATGTTTAAAAGCCGAAAAGGTACTTTTAATATTTAGCTTTTAGGAAGTCTTTAGAGAAGACTGAAATCCCCAAGGAAGAAGACTCCTACTTAGCATGTCTGTGTTTGGAAATGGGAATTTTCATAGCAGATCAGAAAACTCACTTTGTAAACCAACTAATAATGTTTGCAATGTTGTGCTTTGTCATAAATTTTTAGGATCAAGGCGGGGACATGTTCATGTCTTAGCAAAGTGTGAGACTGGTGGGAAGAACCATTTCACAATACTGCAGTGGCCAGCAGCATCAGTGTGTGATTTGCCTTTTACTGCTGCTAACCGTCCAATGGGCCTTTTCAATTAAAGGACAGTGTCCTCTTCACTTATTCGTACCCTGTATTTCTAGTTCCCTTATTTGCATCTGTTTTTGTCTCATCTCTGTAAATCAATGCATTTACTTTATTGCCATACAAGGAAGGCATATTTTAAGAAAGTGACATAAGGTGAACAAAGATGAACCCTTCTTTAAAAGCTATACCACGGTCAGCCTAAACTTCAATGCCCTGGGATCTTTCATTGTTTAGTATAGTGTTTAACTGAGTAATTCTTTGTCTTTAAGCACACTGTCTCATTGTCAACATGGATTCCATGCATTGGACAGAATTCACTGGTGATATTCTTTCTGATAACTTTACGTAAGCAAAGAAAAAAAAAAAGGTGATAGTGAATATTAAAATATTCCCGGAAGTTTCCATGGACAAGTTGCAAAATTTATGACATTCACTAGGCATGTTTTTATTGACACAGTAACTTAGTTCATATCATAATGGCTACTTTGAATAATGTCTTAGGATTGGAGGAATAATAGTTGAAAAAATCTTTGCAAAGATTATAATGAAAATAGAACTGCTCAGTGTTTCTTTCAGCTAGAATGTTGGCCAGCATGTTAGAAGCAAAGAATTCTGGAAAGAAGGCAGAGAATACAGACTCCTGGGTTTGTTTTCCAAACTTTCAGAGTAGGCTTCCCTTAAAGGTATAGAAAAAATGGAAATGTGTTATGTACATTCACTAATTCCTTCAGTGTAATCATATGTGCTGTAAACATGTAAACTGGTAATTGAAAAGAAAAATATACTAAGGTTAAATAAAGTATCTTCAATTGCTTTCATCTTACTTTAAGAACTAGGTGAAGGCTTGCTTGCATTGACAATACAGAGGGGAAACAATTTTCAAAATTTCATAGGAATGATTCATATTAATTTAGGAAAATCTCAGTTATTGTTACGGTTTACTATTAGACCTTGAAATACCTGAAGAACAAGGATTTTGCTCCCTTTCCATAAATCCATGGGGTCAGCTTATGAGAACAGTGTATCTAAAGATTCTGAAATGGCTTCTTTTTTAGCAATGTGTTCTATACGTATGAAAAGAGTGCTTATGTATTTCACACACAATTTATAAAGAATGCCATACACTTGGGTATTTAAATACATGTATAAACCATATATATGTATGTGCTTAAGAATGACTAGTATGTGTACATGTCTGCTGTGAATCATTCAAACTGCTCATTAGAGAAAATAGGAATATAGAAAATATAAGGTGATAATAGACGGTAAATCCCTAATTTAATGAACTGGCTAAACATAGACCTGCAAATTCATTCTATGTTCCTTCTGACTCTCTTTCTAGTGACAATAAATATCTGTGATGGGCCCAAGTGGAGTCCTCTGGTATCCATAAAGTTTGTACTAACTAGATCAGGATAATGTTTCCTTTTAGAGTGATTTAAAAGTTACATTAAAGAGAAATAGGGGGCAAAAAAGGGAATGAATGTTAATTCTAGCCACATATTTTCCCAGTGGGGTATCTGTACTAACACCAGGGGGCGATGTTAAAAGTAGATTGTATGTGTTTCTAATTTGTTTATTTTGTAGTTAATTAATTCTCAGCCACTTTTCTTTTAATCTGGCTGCTGTAAATGCTTAAGTGTCCTGCTGACTGGTATAATTCATTTTAGCAACTTTTAAAGAAATTTCATAAAACAGGGCAGGAGAATCTAGAAGGTACTTCCTGGAGGACTTTATAGCGTTTTGAGTGTATTGGAAAGCTGTTTCCATTTGTGGTCTCTTTTTTCCCACTCAGTGCCTGCAGAACTCCTTGAAAGATATGAAGGATGTTGGCATTTTACAAGTAAAGGTGTTAAAGGCGGTGGATCTGTTAGCAGCGGATTTCTCAGGTACAGAATATTCATTTCTTAATTTTATTATTATAGTTCCTGTTTTGAAATCATAGCAAACAAGCTTTATAATAAGTAGAAATATACAGTAATCACACATCTTTAAGTAGATAATGGGAGAAGAAAGATGCAGAGTTGAGCAGTTGCAGATTTTTCAAGAAATTTTTTCATAATTTTATTCTGATTCAGTCATGTGCTAGTCCACTTGTGTTTCAAAGCTGTTTGTGGATTTTACTGCTGAGGTTTCTTTTTGGTTATATGAATTGTTTTCTCAAGCTTTGCTATGGTGCTGCAGTCTCTCAAATTTACACGATTACTCTCTTTAGCTCTTGGCGATTTATGAGATTCACTCCTTCCAGTGGAGAGCTGGTGTTCATAAGTCTGAGCAGGAAAGCAGACACGACTGCCACCTCAGTGCAGCATGACCAGGTCTAGGGTCTGACACCGTGTCACCATTCATGCAGGACCTCATGCAGTCTCTCTTAGGTGCGTCAGGAACTGGAACTTTGAAGTGGAAGTCGCAATAGACCTGCTCTGTGGTGCATCGTGCTCTGCCATGTGTAGAAGCACTCAAACATTACAAAGTCTGATCAGTGACTCAGCCGTCAATGCCAAATTCTCCCCTTGAGCTGACTGATGAGTCAGATGCCTGTGTGACACAGTCTGTATAAAAAATAACTTAATGAATACAAAAAAGTGTCATACAGCAATGGTCATTGATGGAATGCTAAGTTCTCTTATTGTATCATATTTTTAGATTGTGATCTACTCTTTTCTTTCCTCCTATGCAGAACTAATTATCCTGTATGATTATAACATATACTTCTGAAACTAAATCTGAAGATGCTCAAACTTTGGGAAATGAGAATGTAAATTATAAACACATTATCACAAAAATTATGGAAAATGTAGTTTTTTAAAAATGTTCTCTTTGCCCTACCTCAAACAATTCACCAATAAGAATGACTCTTTCATAATATCTTTAAGTAAATTGATCTGTATGTTAAGGAAGTGCTTAAAGGGCAGATCCAAACAGATATTTTAAAGATTAGGGGTGGAGTGCTAAAATACTTACTTTTAGTACCCATTAAACAACTACAAATGTTTACAGTCTCATGTTAATTTAGAAATTCTCTCTTTTTATGTTTATGAAAACTTTCAATATTTCACATATGCCTTTGACAATTCAAATTTCTGCAGTATTGATGATTTTATTGTAATTTAAAACATGTTTGGACTTTACAACCCAAGTGAGTTTTTCTTCTATGTGTTTAGATGTGGGCTTTTGGAATGCACATTTGTTACTGTCTCAGAAAACAAGTCCCAAGAAGCTATGTCTACCTTAAACAGTATTTTTTATAAACTTCTTTTGAATTAGTAATTTTTTGATTTGTGGTAATGCATTCAAAGTTCATTTTTCTAATTTCTAATTTCTTATTTATAGTTGCATGCATATACGGAAAGACTTATTTACAACCTATTTCAATTTGCCCACCCTATCAGATATTATTTGTTCCTCAAGCCACCAGAGTAGTAGTGACAGTTATCTCAAATCATCTGTTCCAAAGAATGCTCAGACTATTAATATAATTGAGTCACAGAATTCAGACTATTAATATAATTGAGAAGAAGCCAAAAATGAGTACTTGTAAATACTAGAATCTAATATTAGAATCTAATAATAATAGAATCTATCCCTCTTTGTGGGATAATGATTTTTGGTATAGAAATATTACTATTTGATCATTTTCTTTAGACTCAGGATATTTAGTAGTTAATTTTGGAATGATGAGGGTGAGTATAAAAGAATTCCAGTATTCAAAAGAAGTAGTTAAAAATGTAATGATACACAACTTGACTAAATGTTTCGTGTTTTACGATCTCTATATTCTTTATGAGGAAATAATCACTATCTTGAACTAAACCAAGGTGATTTGTCATTAGATAAACATGTCTTTAGACCATGTTGATCATGGTTTTCACAGTTTACTGCATGATCTGTGTTCTTTACATGTTTTAAGCTCCTGTGTGAACCCTCCATTGTGATTCCAACTAGGACACTAGTTAGCATGACTGACTGGGTCTGATCCACACAGTTGTAATGTAACTTTAATAAGAAAGTAGAATAGATTCAAATTACACTGAGGTGGTAGAATATATGTGAACCCGGCATGTAGCAGAAACTCAGACATGATTGTTATTATCATTATTGTTATTACTTCTCTTGATGTACAGTAAGGAAAAACAGATCATTTGGTAAGTATCAGAATTAAAGAATTAAGTGAAGACCCATCCTCTATGTCCAGCATTTCCTATGCAGCCTTTCTTTGAATGTTCTTTTATCATAGTTGATCAGAAAATGAACTACTACCTGCAAACGAAAAATAAATCTGTGTACTGTAAATGTTCCGGTGCATTCTCTAAAGAATGGTCATTTTAGGTAGGGTACGAAATGGAACTTCCCATGGTTTCTGTTTTTATTTATCTACCATCTACAGTGACAACTGTTCGTTAAAAATAGTATTAAGTGTGCTAGTCATCTTTTCATTTCTGTGACAAAAACCCTGAGAAAATCAACTGAAAGGCACAAAGATTTATTTGGGGTCATGCCTTTAGATATTTCAGTCCCCGGTCACTTGGCCACAATATAGCTCTCAGCCTCTGAACACCATGGCCTCGGGAAACCTTCCTCTGACACAGAACATTTAGGTAGACATTTTAGATCCAAAATGCAGCACCAACCAACATAGTATCTTATAGTTCAAGGTTTCAGCTAAGATTCAGGAATCCTGATAAAACCAGAGTTGAAGGTGGGGGGTAAGTCTTGAAAGTGGGCCACAGAAGGTAGCAATTACTGTGTTTGGGGTGCAGGGAACTATGCGGTCCAAGAATAACGAAAGCTTGTATTTGGAACTCTTGTCAGTGGGTTGCTAGGGTTTTTTTTTTTTTTTTTTTTGTTATTGTTTTTATGGAAGAAGTAAAATTTCAAAACTAAATAATAGAATAACAATAGTTAATATATTGCATATTATTATCTTCAAAGTAGTTACTTGGAGTATAAAAAAATTTCCTAGTGATATTAGCAGAAATCTTTCTTTTCAGTGAACTAAGAGAAACTATTAGTGTAACTGTCATGTATGTTTTTTCCTTTCCTTACCCAATTCCAAAGGTTCCTAGATTTAAAACCATCTATCTCTTTGTAAGTAATAATTAGAAAAAGAAATACGAATTGTTCATGCCTCTGTGATCAAATTAGGATATTCCTCATTAGTTAATATTGATGCTATGATTATATAGTTATAAAAAGAAATTAAACTGAAGGCAAGGTACTATGCTAATATTTTAAAATATGGAATAAAATGTGTGTATTAAAGTTAATTTCTTTTCCATAAAAGTATTTTACTATGTGAAGGAAAAAAGTACTTTTTAAAATGTCATAAGAGGTATTAAGAACTGAAGTCTGTGTGCATTATCAATATTAAAATATTTACAGCAGATAAACGATTTAGGGTTCTAATGTATAGAAACACATTTACTTTTAAAACATGTATTCTTTTTTAAATAAGATATTTTGTAATTGAAACTATTTGTCGTGCATAAAAATGGCACTTTTAGAATTTCTGAAATAGTATCTCAGAGAAAGAAGACTTTTAAAAAATCTGAGGTCACTTACAGTATCTTGTTCTGGAGTGCACACCTCTACAACATGTGAAAGACACTTTAGTATCCTCTGTTCTACGCCAAAAATAGATGTGGATAGCTATAAACACTCTAAAGGAAGAGTCTGCCAAATATTTTTATAGAAAAGATACCTACATGAAATTATTGTGTGCAACACAACCTAAAATCTTTAATAAGCTGTTTGGCCTCCTTGATTCATGAAATGAGTGGTGTACTATGCTTGGACATTGAAGGTGAATATACTGCGTACATTTGATGAGATCGACAACTTTCACTCAGCTTGAAACTCAGCCATTTTAAGAAAAAAAAAATAGTTCCCATTCTAAATGAGTGAAAGGGACAAAGGGGGCTGTTTTCTTTGGGATGGGGCTGAAAGTGGCTCCCACAACAGCTTCTGTACACACAGTTGAAACCCACACAGAGAATCTAACTCTATATTCTTATATGCCTAGAGGCATTTCAAATTCATGGATTAATACTGCTGAGCGAAAAGGCACATCTTATCAACTACAAACGATAACTAAGCATATATGACATACATTTTTAGGGTGTTGAAATCTTTTTTCCAGTGACATTGATAAGAACATTGACCTTACACTTGTCATCAGCCAGTAAAGAGTGGGAAACTGTCCCGGCGTGCCCAGCACATGCTCGCAGAGTTGTCCAGCATGACCTCGTCCTAATTGGCAGAATGTTGTGGCTGGCAAGGGTTAATTTAGCATGTGATTATTGAAAGCATCTTGGCTGTCATTTACATAATGCATATGTTGAAAATCAACATCAATGACTCCTCTCACATTCTTCCATGGAATGGTTAATACATCTAGATTTCTGTAGGTTCGTCTTTCTCTTTTTAGAACATTGTTATTATATATTTTTTATGTAGTTGTGTCCCCCCTCAAAAAATACGGTGGTAAGCTGGGTTATTTTTGCCTCCCTTTGTTTTGTTGTGATAACTTTTCCCTGATAAGTCTGCTGGCTGTTGAGAATTCTACCATGATACAAGGGAGACAGACAGAAACTAAGGTGATTGTTTTCTTTAACTGGTGATTCCAGTAATAGTTCAGAGGAAGTATTCCACGCAGACCTTAGTGTAGGGTCATATTAAATAAATTAACAACAGCATACGTCATAACACAGTAACTCTCCTTTTAGCATAATTCCCTCTTCATTTTTTATGTTCCTGTATATATAATCCTCTATATGTCATGATAAGAAACTGGGGAATTATCAGGAGGCAAGGAAAGTATAAAACTAAAAATACCATCATTATTTAGAATTTGGAGCTACCTGTCCTCAAAAAAATTTGCAAGTATTTT